CAGCATCTGCAGTTCCTACTATCTCTGTAACAACTTTATTTTTGGCATGGTTTTACATTCAAAATTACCACAGCCTTTAATTTTGTTCTATTAGTCATATTTCTATTAACTAATACCACTCTGAATCTAATCTCCTCATATCATTTAGTTTTCACTACAACTATTTTTGAACATTTCCAGTCCATAGTTCAGTTCCTGGACATATGTAATTCAATGCAACATCATCCATTTTGCCCACGTGACATAATGGGGCCTTTAGTTTTTGTCATTGTCGGATGAGGAATTGTTGGAACTGTTAATTTTGGCATTGGGATATATTGATATTCACTGGACAACCTAAGTCTCTGTCACAGCACTGGATTTTTTTTATATACACGCACTGTAATTCTGGTGTCGATTAACCTATTCTAGCCATTTTTTAAGGATCCATTTCGATACAAGATGCTCACGACTAAGCCAGTGACTGGACCCTGCTCTCATTCGGTCTTAAGCTTCTTCTTCAGAGCTGATTTCCTGTTTCTCACATCATTTCCTCACGAACACCAAATTGTCCTGCTGTAGCATAGTTGTTTGATTGATTTTACAAATGTTTCAACTTACAGCTTAAAACCTCCTCCTACTTCATTCTGTTTGAGAGGATCCACTTCTGTTTATCATTTACCACATGCAGTCTGGTATAGGAGATCACATCTTAAATTTGTATGTATCTTTTACACAACTTATACCACCCACTTGATTCCATGTACAACTTATAGGGTGAATAAAACATGTACATCTGAAGGTGAAAAGTCAAGGCTGATTCTTAATACAAATATAGTATTTATTCACAGTAATTATCTTTCGGTGCAAATCGAGGTTAAATCTTCAGCTCAGCTATTCAATTCCAACAAAGACTATTGTGGCATAAGTTAATTCACTAAATCCACTAAAACCACTATTAGGCAAAACATAAGATACAAAGAAAAATGGTATATTTACATAACACACCTTATGTATGCACAACGTGTTTCATTGTTAATGAATTTCCTTTGAAGTACAGACACTGTTGCTTTTCAAGCAGAGCCCAAAACAAATTGCAAGTAAAATCCCATAAATACAGTGAAATTAATGATCGCTGTTTACATAGCATAGGTCGAGACCTGTCAGCTGGCCGGGACAATGCCGTGGAACTTTCACACCAACCTCAACTGGGAGATGCTCCCCTGTAAAGCTGTGCTTCCTTAGTACTGTACAAAAGCCTGGGGACACTTGGCCCCGTCTGTGTCCCCTCGAACCCATAACCTTCTGTCTCAGAGACAGGTGCAATATAAGCAGGAAATAACTTATGCATGAGTTGACCTTAAAAAAACTTATTGACACCTAGTACTGATTCGACACTCAAAATGAAGAAATCAGAAATATAGAACAGGTTGAGAACAAATGTTAAACCTCTTTCAGCCAGTTGATGAAGGAGGAAACCAGAGGTCAAGGTTTACTTAGTTTTAGATTTATTCAGAAAGTGAAACATGACAAATATGTAACTCCTAATTTTACAACCCACCATCAGTGACACAAAGTCTTTTTTTTTATTTCACTGCTACTTGCACATGTTATGTCACAGATCTGTGACCATAGCATTCTGAGGTGAGACTTATAACCAGGCCATCGGGCCCAGAAGTAAGAACACTAACACTGCACCACTCTAAGGTTTTGGAGTAGATCTGTAGCTCCGGTTGTGGCTGCACACTCGATTAACAAGTAACATCAGCTTATTTAAGCAAAGAATTCTTCTCTTTGATACAGTTCCTATTTCTGGACAAGCTGATGTGTTACACCACAACCTGCGCAATCTCTATTGCTACAGAAGTGCACAGCTTCCAGCAGCTGAAGGGGTTTATTTCTTGTGCAACAATGAGCAGGGTAAAGGATTCTATATCCCTGTAGAAAAAGGTTAAAATTTCATGTGCAACCACCACAACAACTATGAGTTCTCTATAACAGCACCAGAGATAAGTGTTATTCTTTTCTCATTAAAGCCAGAACTCGATCTTGCAGAATTTCTGTCTATTTTTAACATAAACTAAAATACTACTTCCATAGAAAGTACACCGTTAGGAACATTATAACGTTTTGAAATGTCTGACACCTGCATGGACATTCTCTCAATCATTTTCATTATAAATTCCAAAAGCGTAAGAGAATCCAGTCATTATGGAACTTATTTGCCCAATATTTGCCCAGCAAGCACAAGTTCAAGTCCATTACAAATTGTGAAATAATAATCCCTGTAATTTTTGGGCTGCTATCAGTACATGGCCAAGATAGCTAGGGGGGGGAAAAAAAACCAAATACACTGTCACACCTTCACAGTGGATGTGGAAGTTGCCTTTACAAATTTACAGAAGCAGTTTCCATTGTGAATATGGATATGGGAGCTAGTTATCATAGAAATATAAATACATGGATATGCCCTTAGACTGAGGATCCAATTATCTCAGAAACTTGCCCAACTGCTCATGATTACTAGACAGCTCCATGGAGATTAATTAGCATTTAATTAACAAAAAAAATACACAGATTCAACTAACTATTGCCAATATTTGGAATCACTCTGAAATCTTAACCTTGTTACTTATAACTTTTCAGCAGACATTGAGCAAATATTTGAAGAGGAAGTACTGTTAGCGAACTGTCCTATTTCAAACTTGCTATGACTACGAATTTATGGTTGGGCTGATGATACATGGCAATCGAAATATTGAATTACTCAAGGTTTCATTGATTATTGCCAATCGTAAGAGCCAGCATAAATGAGATCTCAGTACCTCGATGTTTTTTCCCTGAGCTATCTTCAATCCATTGGACTTTGGGTAATCCCTTAAGCAGCCGCAGCAGATAGGGGACCACAGTTTCTTTATGCTGTCAGAAAATATGAACAAATTGGTTACATCTGTCTCTATTATATCATTTTATGAGTTGATAATATCAAAAAAGATGACACAGCAAGACCTAGAGGAAACAATGAAAGCCTTCAGTGGGTCACTGAAACAGGGAAGCAATTTAATGTAGACAGGGGAAAAATCATATTTTAGGGGAATGCAGCTATGCATCCATTGGAAATATAAAGACAGATATGGATGAACAGAGACACATTAGAGAGTTTAAATCTATCATCATTCCCACTGCAAATAAATAAAATCATTAAAAGAAAAGTAAACAAGTACTTTGTGCAGTTTTTAGCATCCCATTATTGAAAACAACATTAAAACCACAGAAAGGATTTAGTATCAATTAAACAGAATGATGCTGGGATGAGAAATGATAGCAAAGAGAATGACAGCAAAAAGGCTTTTATTTTAAATCGTTCCAAATTTTTTTTCTTTATTCAATTGCTGGATCAACCCTTCTAAATTAATTTCCTGCACATCATTCAAGTTTCCTATGTCTGCTACAGGTCTCTCTGAGTTTTGTCACTGTGTTGTATTTCAAGAACATGTTCTGTTTATCAAATTGTCGCAAGAAGAATTGGTGGCGATTTGAAACATTACATTTTATTCTGGTTAGTTTAGTTAGGGTGACACCAGCATGTTCATAAAATAACAGACACACTTCTGTGGACTTTACGGCAAAAGAATTTTCCAAAAAGGTTTGTTGACAAGTGCAAATAACATTTCCATGATGACAGGAATTGGATTTTAACAGCAGGATTTTTAGGTTACATTAAAGGGAAAGACGAGAGACATCCAAAGCAACACAGAATTTACTAACAAGAAATGTGCAAAGATGTGAGTCAATCAATTTAAAATGTCCTTGTTGCTTCAGTTGTCATTACAGAACACACTACTGGATACCAACACAAATTCCAGTTGTATCAAAATATTTACACAGCACAAATCTTTCTTACCTGAAGTTTCGACTCTGTCAGAAAAACTCCTAGAGCAATAACTGCATCCCTGCGCCGTTCATCCAACTGAAAAATGCCATGAAAATCCACAGGAGACATACAAAGTAACTTTTCTACCTGCAAGAAAAAAAATTGTTTCGTGTTCATCAGTCTCAATAAAGAACACTAGGAACATTCTCATGTGCGTGATAGCCCCTCAATTTTCTTAAGTTGAGAAGGTTTAGGATATGAGAAGACTTCTTTTATCCAGGGAGTTCAGTTGACCTGGAATGCAATGGCAGGAAAGGTGGTGAAAACACATTCAAAACCATCCTTTTTTAAAGTGAAATTATATAAATAATTAAAAAGAAACTTTTTAAAGGACTAAAAAAAGAAAGATCGGATTAATTGGATAGGTCTTTCAAAAGAACCTCCTTTTGTATTGCATAATTTTATATAACTATGAGGCATAGGGAGACAGTGTAGTGTAACGTCAATGGACTTGCAATCCAGAGGACCTTTGGACTGAATCCAAATCGTGACCATTGTTGGGAGTTCAAATTCAAGCAATAAATCTGGAATATAAAGCACATCTCAGTAACGGTGACCCCATGACAACTATCAGCTACAGTTGTGCCCCACCTGATTTACAAACATCCTTCAGGAAGGGAAATCTGCAATGCGTTGACTTTTTACCTACCATCTGCAAGGGTCTCCATTCAAGGGCAGTTAGGGATTTGTAATAAATGTTGGCCCTGCCAATGTTGCCCCTCTTTTTTTTTTTAAACCATATTCACTTGTGGGACATGGGCGTTGCTGGCTGGCCAGCATTTATTACCTGTGCCGAGTTGCCCTTGAGAAGGTGGCAATGAGCTGCCTTCTTGAACTGCTGCAGTCCACCTGCTGTGGGTTGGCCCAAAGCCATTGGGGAGGGAATTCCAGGAGTGTGACCCAATGACAGCAATATATTTCCAAGTCAGGATAGTGAGCACCTTGGAGGGCAACATGTAGGTGGTAGTGTTCCCATGTATATCCTGTCCTTGTCATTCTAGATGGAAGTAATTGTGGGTTTAGAATGTGCTATCTAAGAAGCTTTGGTAAATTCTACAGCATATCTTGTAGACAGTATACACTGCTGATGATGACCAGTGATGGAAAGGGGGAATTGGATGCCAATCAAGGGGCTTGCTTTGTCCTGGATGGTGTCAAGTTTCTGGAGTGTTGTTGGAGTTGCACTCATCGAGGCAAGTGGTGAGTATTCCATCGCATTCCTGACTTGTGCTTGACAATGTTGGACAGGCTTTGCAGAGTCGGGAGGTGAGTTACTCAACACAATATTCCTACCTCTTGTAGTCACCATATTTATATGGCATTTCCAGTTGAGTTTCTGGTCAATGGCAATCCCCAGGATGTTTATAGTGGGAGATTCAGCGATGGTAACACCATTGAATGTCTAGGGGCAGTGGTTAGATTGTCTCTGATGGTCATTGCCTGACATTTGTGTGGCATGAATGTTACTTGACATGCGTCAGCATAAGCCTGGATACTATCGTGATCTTGATGCATTTGAACATAGCCTGTTTCAGTATCTGATGAGTCACGAATGTCTGGAAATACTATGTAATCATCAGCAAACATCCCCGTTTCTGACCTTATGATGGAGGGAAGGTTGTTGACAAAGCAGCTGAAGATGGTTGGACCTAGGACACTACCCTGAGGAACTTCTGCAGAGATGACTGTCCTCTAACAACCACGTCCTACATGCCAGGTATGACTCTGACCAGCAGAGAGTTTACCCCAATTCCCATTGATTCAGTTTTGCTTTGGATCCTTGATGTCACAATCAGTTGAATGCGACCTAGATATCAACGATGTCACTCTCCCCTTACCTCTGGGATTCAGCTCTTTTATCCATGGCTGAACCAAGTCTGTAATGAGACCAACAGGTCTAGCAGAACCCAAATTAGGTGTCCTTCAGCACATTACTGATGAGCAGGTGCGGCTTTGTAGCACTGTTCTCGACACTTTCCATCACTTTACTGATGATCAAGAGTAGACTTATGAGGTGGTAATTGACCAGGCTAGATTTGTCCTACCTTTTGTGTGCAGAATATACCTTGACAATGTCAGGTTGCAGCTGTACTCGAACAGCTTGGCTAGGGGAAAGGCAAGCTTTGGAGCATGTCATTAGTACTACGGTCAGATTGTTGTCAGGGTCCAAAGCCTTTGCAATATCCAGTGCCTCCAACCTTTTCTTAATATCAAGTAGAGTGAATCAAATTGGCAGAAGACTGGCATCTATGATGCTTGGGAGCACTGGAGGAGGCAGAGAAGGATCATCCACTTAGCACTTCTGGCTGAAGATTGCTGTGAATGTTTCAGCCTTATCTTTTGCACTGATGTGGCTCTTTCATCATTGAGGATGGGGACATTTGGGGAGCCGCCTTCCCCATTCATTGGTTAGTGGTCCATGACTGGATTTTGCAAGACTGCAGAGATTAGATCTGATCTGTTGGTTGTGGGATCAATTAGCTCTGTCTGTCAGCTCTTGCTCTTTATGTTGCTTGGTAGCTTCACCAGGTTGGCACCTCATTTTTAGGTATGCCCTCCTGTGCTCTCCATTGAACCGTGGCTTGACGGCAATGGTTGACTGGATTGAATTATGGTTGTGTTGAATGATATATTATGAAAGAATGTTTTTTCAAAAAAAAAAGGGGCCAATCATCACTATTCCAGAAATAGTGGGATATTTCCTCCTCATGCACAATGACAGTTCTGTTTACAGCCACCAGTAAATACTGACAGGGCCCAGGAAACTAGGAGCTTACGAAAAGGACTTAATCACAATGAATAGCCCAAAGAAGTGAGGAAATTAAGTGTGTGCTGACAGAAGTGAATGTACTGCCATATTAAGTTATGGTGCCAGCACAGCAATACCTCAATATTGATATTGTAGATGAGTATGTTCAGTACTTCCATTTATATTCGTATTTCTTTCCATCAATTTGCAGTGAATTGTTTTTATAATACAATTTCTACCATCAGTTTTATTCCATTTTTAATTCATACCCTATAATTCGTTTGAAATAATTTTTTTCAACTGTATTAATCCTGTCATAATGACTTCACATTATTTATATTTATAGCTTGATATCTTTAAAATTCAAGAATTGCATTGATATAGTGTGCTTTTGTTTATTGTGGCATAAACAAAATTGAATGTTGCAGATAAACTTAATACAATTACAACCCAAACAAAATACTTATTCAGTCTCTGATACAGAAGTGACACCCTTGGTTGGGTGGATGGCTGGTTGGTTTGCAATGCAGAGTGATGCCAATAGCGTGGGTTCAATTCTCACACCAGCTGAGATTACAATGAAGGATTCTACTTCTCAAACTCTACCCTCACCTAAGGCGTCGTGGCCTTCAGGTTAAATAACCATCAATCCTTTCTCTCTCTCTGAGCAGCCATATGGGCTGGTAACACTATGGCATCTTTACCTCTACATACCTGCAGTTATACTGTTTGTATGGGAAACTACCACAGCAGCCTATAGAATTATCATCTTACTGAACTTTCACCGAGCTTGTATTCTAACTATTGCTGTACAGCATCTGTACATGTTTTGGTAACTGAACAACAAGGCACTTTTAATAGCAACATTTCATAGTTTTAAGTAAAATTATATAGAATATGAGAACCCATTAATGTAAGTTTTTTCTAATATTATAAGTGGGATTTCTTCATTAAAAATGAAAGCAATTATTCTTTGGTTACCACCACTTCATTTGCAGAAATGAGTGTACTTCATGGTCTAGGATTGCAGCAATTGTTTTTATTTGATTTTCCAAATGGAGTTATTAATTGAAAACATGATATTCTTAAGACATTATAATGTCATATCAAAAGTATTATCAACGATGACATAACAAACCAAGAACACAGGAAGGTCACTTTTACAATTTATTTACTTAGATCCTTTTTATTAATCACATAATCCCTCTCCTAAATTCTCTCTTCCCTTTCTAGATACTCAACCAACAGTACTGACTGTATTACAGGGCACCCAGAGAGGATAGGAGAAGATGCAGGAAAGAGG